TATTTTAAATTATTTTATATAATATATTTATTTATTATTTTAATTATATAAGTATAAATAGATATGGAAAAAATATTTTCTATATAATTTTTATAAATTATATATTTCCCATAGACTAAATTAGACATTATCGGGCAGTTCAATAGTCACTAATGTGATATCTTGCTTCGTATATTGATCACTTTGCAGTGCAAGATTTTTTTTAATGTGCAAATATAAATTACACTTTCTCGAAATAATTTGGTTTTTTTTTTTTTTTGTTAATCAAATTAACTTGATTAATTGAATTAATTTATTATTTATATTAGAAAATATATTTAATATGTTATATTTTTATTTATTCTTTTGTAAGTGGATTTTTATTTCACGCGAAGGTATTTTAGTTATTGTGCAAAATGCACCATTGCTATAAAGTGCAACGTCACATGCACTAAAGTTCAGTTTTTATAACAATATGGTGCAGTCTATATAGTGATATATTTTACGTGCAACCCCGAAAGTAATAAGGTGCAATGCATTGAACATTAAAGTGCAACTATCGACTTTTATTAATTTATAAATTTAACACATGAACTAAATTACAATATAGTTGAAATTTATTAATTTGCAGATAGGTCCCTTAATTCTATCTAATTTACAAAAAAAAAGTCATTTTCCCCAAATTGAATTTTCCCAATCCCTAATCGGAGGGGTGTCTTGCTGCAGAAAGGGGAGGCAAAGCTGCTGCTTGTTTCCATCTCCGGCAAAGGCGGACGGCGCCGGCGTCGGAATGGGTGTTGCCGGCGGCGGGGACGGCGGAGACTGCGGTGGGGATGGCGGAGGTAGCTGACTCGCCGGACATCATCAGGCCATATTTGAAAGGCAGCGGCAGTGGAGTGTTCATGAGTGGTGGAATTACACAGGGCGGCTGAGGAGGAAGGTGAAGCCAGCGGCGGCGGGTTTTGAACATAGACCATGAGTGGCGGCGACGAGTAGTGCCCTCTCAGCCATGCCAGACGCCGTTAAGTTCCTGGTGAAGCTCCACCACGCGACGCCGTCTCTGCTCGAGCTCGCCCAAATGGTGACGGAGAAGTCGGAACTGGCGCAGCAGATGAAACATAGGCTCCGGCGGCTGTGGGTTTAGCGGCGACAGACGGAGGCCTCACGGCGGCAGCGGAAATCTCAGAAATACGGTCAGCCGCGGCGAGTTTAGTGGCGTCGGCTGGTTATCGGATGAGACTGCGGCGGCGGGCGGCGCCGCCAGATGGTGGCGCTTGGACATGGAAGAAGATCTACGGGGGATACGAGGAGAGAGAAAATAGTTGGGGGTGGGGATGAGAGAGAAATTGATTGGAGAGAGTGGTTCACGTGAGATGTGGTATGTGGTACCATTTTTTTGGGTGTGGACAATTACCACAATACCCTTAATGAAAGTATAATGGTGGTTTTTATCTGGCCATTAGATCATTTCATCTAATGGTTACAATTTATTCTTATTTCTTTCACTAGGTACCATTCTCATGTGAACCCAACCATATATATATATATATATATATATATATATTGTCGGGTTATATGTAAAACTATCATGCATTTTACATATAAGGATTTCGAGGATGAGGGCTGAAACCCTGTTCTTGGCAATTAGACGACAAAGCCCTGAGTTTCATTTATTTTTAATTTTTTTTGTATCTAAATTAATTCTTTTATTGCGTTACCAATAAAAGAATTCATCATATTATGTTCTAATTATGATGACAGATTTTCCTGTATTGAGAAATAAGTAAAGCAAACTAGAGATAACATTGTTTGAGTTTTCGACTTTTGCTTGATTTTCATTTTGTTTGTCCAGGGTTGACCAAAAAGGTACTAGAAATTTTAAACATTAATGATAAGACAAAAAAAAAAAAAAAAAAAAAAAAAAAAAAAAAAAAAAAAAAAAAAAAAAAAAAAAAAAAAAAAAAAAAACAGAATATAAACGATACAGAAAACAAAAAAATACAATCAATAACTAAGAAAATCACGACAAATAAACTGAATATAAACTATAAATAAGACAAACAGAGAAAAAATACAATGAATAACTAAAAATTAACTCAACATAAACATCAAATTAAATCTAACTAAACTAAATTCAGGTAACTTTTTTTTTGAAAAAATAATTTAACAAAAATCAACAAAAGATAAACATCATATTAATATTTTTGTTTACAAACTACCACACATAAAGAAAAAGAAAAAACGCAGTATTTCGGAACATTCTTCTCATTAGGGGAAAAACAAAAAATCACTGATTAATTAAAAAATTAACAAATAATAACAAAAATTTGATTCAATATGTTTGTCTAATTTTTTTGCGTTTTTCGTTATTGTTTTGTCTTTATTTTTCCTCGTTTTAGTTCTTTTAGTTGGTTTATTCGTTTTTATAGTTTATTGTGTGATTTGCTCTATTTTGGTTTCTGTGTGTTATTCGTGTGTTTTTCTGGTTTTTCTTCGTTTATGTTGCGTAGTTCGGACGTTTTGGGAGGACCATATTTTGGGCAAAAATCAGCCGGGCAAGGATAAGTAAATAGAAGAGTTTGTTGGCAACAAGCAAGAAAAAAAACGGAACTCAATTTCGAGTTCGGATGAGCTCAAACGAGCCCGAGAAGAAAAATCGTGCAAACCGACCAGCCGGGCGTCAGCTAGCGCTGCTAGCGCACGCCTCCTAACGCCGCTACCCCTGCTAGCAGGAAAGAAAGCAACGCCAACACTTCCGCACGCCTTAACTCCGCTAGTCGGCGCTTAGCGCAGCTAGCTCCCACGCCTTGGCGCTGATAGTGCACCTAGCGCCGCTAGCACGCGCGCCCAGCCTCCGATGCCCTTGGAAGCTTCCCCTTAGCGCCGCTAGCCCGCGCTCTAGCGCCGCTAGGGCTTGGGCACGGACAGATTTTCTTTTCCTTCGTTTATTTGTTTTTTGTCGTTTTGGCTCGATTTTTCGAGCCTTATATAATAATACTCGTCCCCAGACTTGAGGGAACACATCTAACTCGTTTCTTTTCATATTCCTACCCTAGAACATCATCTTGCACTTTGAATTTCTTCTTGAATTTCTTCTCTATTTTCTAGTATTAATCTTTTATCTCGTATTCGACTTTTAATCTGTTTTAGTCGTAATTTATTCTCTTCATTTTATCCATGAATATGTTTGCTTGGGTTAATCTGATTGATGTTGTTGAATTCAGTATGAGTAACTTATTCGAATTGCTAGGGATAGGGGATGATGTTTTGGTTTCGTTTGTGATTATTGTGTTCGTTGATTGTTCAATTTATGCGAGTTATTCTTAAATAGGGTTTTCGATGATTATGCCTGAATGTTGAGAATTGTTGAAGGGTGGCACTTCAATTTCCAATTGGTTTTCGATTGAACTTGATTTGTTCTTGCGTGATGTTGTCAATTCTATAGGACTGGTTCATTAACCATCTTCTAGGATAGTTTAATTGGCTCTCAGAACAGAAAGGGTAGGAGCCGATCGATCTAGGCTCGTATAAGCTAGGCTTGTCCGTAACTGTATTGCCTAGGCATTAAATGAATCATTAACTTGTTGTTTACGTTTATTCTCTTGTTACGAAAAGTTATTGAGAACAAATCTCTAAGCGAGTAGGTTATTCGAATCATTTAACCGAACAATCACTTGCCCGGTAATTGCATTTCGAACCCAAACGGATATTCCCGACTCCCTAGCTTCTTTATTCTTGTTTGATCTTCCTCGTTGTTTGATATTGCAATTTACTTACTTGAATTCTCTTAGTTAATAATCTTAATTAGAACATTTAGGAATTTTATTTTATTTTTTTTTGTGTTTGAATAAACGTGCATTATAATCTGGCTAACCTCCCTCGTGAGATCGACCCGGGGAACGAGTCTTTGATTCGGTACGCAGTAAAAAGAAAATAATTTGCTACAACACAATATTTCCACAAACGAACCAGGGCAAGCAGGAGCTGGTAAATTTTGTCCAATAAACTCAGACGGTGGGCGGCGTAGTTACTAATGGGCGACAACCGACGCATCTTCTTCACCTTCTCCGCAATTGTCGCATTATTCTTTTTGTGCCCCGTCGTCTGCTTCTAGCTAATCCCGAGTTTAGCAACCTTCAGCCTGGATTTCGCGTACTCTGGCTCCATAGCTTGGCCCAACCCATTCGTATGAGTAATCTCACACGAGAAAAAAAAAAACTGATCGTCTTCTGGAAAGCTCCTCGGAAAGCAGGAAATGGGGATATGATGACGTAGAAATATGGCTAAATAACTTCGCGGTGGTGGTGTCGCAGAGGTGCGAGTGGGGCGGTTGGAGTTAGGGTTTGAGGGAAGATTAGGGCGATTGATTTGATGATTAGAGACGGGAAAAGTGGAATATAAAAAGTTTGATGTGCAACTAATTACGATTTATTTCGTAATTGTGACTTCAGTAAGTCTGATGTGGGAAATTTTTTTATCTCCTTAAATGAGCCATATAAAAAGTTGGGCTCGTGCGGAGGGTAATTACGTCAAAAATATTGTGTTGAACAATATCTGTGTTTGAACCACTCTTTGCATTTTAATCATCTACTTTATTGTTTTCCCTTGTATAAGCCTTTGAATTTGAGCAAACACATGTTCTTACATGCTCCTTCGATGTCTGCATAGGCTGAACTCAGAAAATAAGGTGGCATTTTCTTTGGTTGAGTTTCATAAACCTGCATCCGTTATTTTTTCCTCTTCACCTTTTATCTTGAATTATTCAAAATGAAAACTCCATAACTCATTGATGGATTTAGAAGTCAATTTCATTTTAGGCAACCATGTTTATGGGGTTGATTCACTAGGGAAGGCACAGTCGTGGTGATATGGGGGCTGCCTTGTATCTACCCAATCCCGAGCTGTCCATGAATGTCACACAACTTGAGATCAGCCAACCAGCTGTAAGTTGTTGTCTCAACGGAAGTATTATATATATATATATATATTGTGATTTGTCACCATTTGTACCCTAGGTGTAGTTTCAATATGCTTACGCTGACCCTTACTTTGGTGGACTTTATACTGCCTACGCACCTCATAAGATGGTGAGTGTAGCCTTACACATCATTCTTTCACAATATTTTCTCAGTATGTGTGTATCATAAAGAAGTTATTTCCAGTAATGTTAGAGAATGAAGAACAGTAAAATGAATGTTGTTAATCCATTGATTGTGATAACTGTACAAAACAGAGTACATTTATATGCGAGTGAATTGAGGCTTTAACCTCACAGCTGTAAACATGAGCTGGCATCATTGGATTTTAACTAACTCACTAATTACACCTTTAACAAACTAACTAACTCACTATGCACATGCAGTCTAATAGTATCAATTCTAGTATTATTCTAATACACCCCCATCAAGCTAAACTAGGTAGGAAAAACATTTTTGGCCCTCATGGGAAGTTGAGAACGCAGATGTTGAAAGCGAGAAACAGCCAATGGCTTTGTGAGTATATCAGCCAATTGAGACTCAGAGGGCATGTATCTAACATCAACTTCTTTAGAAGCAACTTTTTCCCGCACAAAATGAACATCAACTTCAATATGCTTAGTTCGAGCATGATGAACCGGATTTGAAGCAAGAGCGGCTGCACTACTGTTGTCACACCATAAGACAGAAGGGGACTCATGAAACAAACCAAGCTCAAGAAACAAAGACTGCATCCAAAGAAGATCAGAAGTAGCATTGGCCAGGCACTTGTATTCTGATTCAGCACTGCTCCGAGGGACAACTGACTGTTTCTTAGAGCTCCAACCAAGCAAATTTGGACCAAGAAAAATAAAGTGCCCTCCAGTGGACCGTCTATCATCTAAGAAACCTGCCCAGTCTGCATCAGTGTAGGCTTCAAGAACAAATCTGGTGGCTGGCTTGAAAAGAAGGCCAAGTGTGAGAGTGCCCTTCACATATCTGAGAAGATGCTTACAAGTGAGCCAATGATTCATGGTGGGAGCCTGCAAGAACTGACTGAGCTTATTTACCCCAAAAGATAAGTCTGGCCTAGTGACTGTCAGATACTGCAGAGCACCTACTACACTTCTGTATAATGTGGGATCTGAGAAAGGAGCACTGTCTGAAAAATGAAGCCTGTGAGATGGAGAAATAGGAGTGGACACTGGTTTACAGTTCACCATGTTGGTCTTAACCAGCAAATCCAAAGCATACTTGGACTGATTTAAAAGAAAACCATCAGGAGTTTTAATGGCTTCAAATCCCAAAAAGTGATTGACCTCACCCATAGTTTTTAAGGCAAATTTGTTGCCAAGGGAGGTGATTAAGTGCTGAACTGCAGAGGCACTGTCTCCTGTTATAAGTATATCATCGACATATATAAGAACCAAGAGCAGCTCATTGTTATCCCTTTTAAAAAATAAAGAAGAGTCAGACACACACTCTTTGAAATGAAGAGACAACAAGAAGGTTTTGATTTTGGTGAACCAAGCCCGAGGTGCCTGTTTGAGGCCATATAGGGATTTTTGAAGTTTGCACACTGCAGAGGGATGAGCAGGATCAATGAACCCAGTTGGTTGAGCCATGTAGTCTGTTTCATGTAAATCCCCATTTAAAAATGCATTATTTATATCTATTTGTTGAATGGACCAAGAGTTGGTGGCAGCAAGAGTAAAGACCAACCGGATTGTACAAGGTTTTACTACAGGGCTAAAAGTTTCAAGAAAATCAACCCCAGCAGTTTGCTCAAAGCCCCTTGCAACCAGTCAGGCCTTAAATTTATCCACAGAACCATCCAGTTTATATTTAGTTCTGAAGATCCACTTATTGGAAATGACTTTCATGTCAGGTGTGTGATCCACCAAGACCCAAGTTTTGTTGTTTATTAAGGCATTAAACTCACTCTTCATGGCAGCAAACCTCTCAGGTCTAGACAAAGCTTTTGTGGGTGTGGCAGGCTCTAAGCAAGAAGAAGGAGAGAGAGATGCAACATAAGTTTTTGGTTTAAAAACACCTGCTTTGGACCTAGTAACCATGGAGTGAGTATTTTGAGGAAGAGAACCATAGGATGACTGAGAAGAAGGAGTAGAATTAGCAATAGGGAGATTCACAAACAAAGGTAAAGTGGAGGGAGAAGAAGAGGCAGAATTTGAGAGACTTGGTGCAGTAGCAGATGAATGAGCAGGAGAAGCACCTAGAATAGGAACAGAATTAGAAGAAGGAGATAAATGAGATGAATAAGAAGTAGAAGTAGAAGTAGAAGAGGATATAGGCTGCTCATATGAGATAGGTGGAACAGAAATAAGAGGAGGAGGAGAAGAAATCACATTGGTAGAGGAAAAAAGAGATTGATAAGGAAATTCTTTTTCATTGAAGGCAACAGTAATAGCCACATATGTCCTTCCTTGAGGACTGAGACAAATGTAGCCTCTATGATGGAGACTGTAGCCAAGAAAAACACATTTAGAGCTTCTGAACTGAAATTTATTGGAATTGTATGGTCTTAGGTAAGGGAAGCAAGCACAACCAAAGGACTTAAGAAAGTTAAGGTCAGGCTGAGACTTAAAAAGCAGTTTGAAAGGAGAGGAATTTGATAGAACTGGAGTAGGAAGTCTGTTAATGGTATAGACAACAGCATTAAAGGCATGCCACCAGAATTTTAAAGGTAAACCAGCATGAGCCAACAAAGACAATCCCATCTCAACAATATACAAGTGTTTCCTCTCAGCCCTACCATTTTGATGATGAATATGAGGACATGGATGTCTGAATTTAATACCAAGATTATTGAGAATAGGAACCAAAGATCTGTACTCACCCCCCCAATCAGATTGCAGACATTTAATAGTAGTATGAAATTGAGTATGTACAAAATTACTGAAAAGCTAAAAAATAGAAGCAACCTCAGCTTTAGACTTTAAAGGAAAAATCCAAGTGAATCTTGTGAAATCATCAATGAAATGAACATAGTACTTGAACCCATCAATAGACATAACATGTGATGGTCCCCATACATCAGAATGAACTAGTTCAAAAGAAAAAGATGTTTTAGAGGGATGAGAGGCAAAGTGTAGTTGATGAAGTTTACCCAATTTACAAGCTTCACAAAAGGGTAAAGTACCACTGACAGCTATATTGAGACTATGCATAGCCTGTGTGAACACATTTTGGCAAGGATGGCCAAGTTTTCTGTGCCATACAGTGAGATCATCAATATTGGATACAAAAGTTCTAGGTACAGTGGTTTTTACAGATGAAAAAGTACAAGGATGAGAAATATCAGGTGCTAAATGAGAAATGAAAGAAGCACTCTTGGATAAGTCTAGTTGATAAAGCCCATCCTTAAGTGTTCCTTCCAGCAGCACCTGATGAGAGGTCTTGTCCTTCACAAGGCAAAAATCAGAGTGAAATTCAATAAGGATGTATTGTCCTTAGTTAGTTGAGATATGCTGAGCAAATTTTTGGTAATATTTGGAACAAGTAGAATATGGTTAAGAAGAAGAGGGTATTGATGAGTGGTGGCAATAGAAGAGGAACCAGTGTGAGAGATACTGAGCTTAGAGCCATTACCAACTAAGACTTTATCAGTACCTTGATATGGAGCAGCCTGAAGAGAGAGATTCTCAAAGTTGGCAGTCAAATGATTTGTAGCTCCACTGTCAAAATACCAGTTAGGATCTGATTGAAGAGAGAGACTGGCAGGTTGAGCAGGGGATGGATATTCACCAACATGAGCTTGTGGTGACTGAGGAGGTGCCATTTCTGGGCCTGTAAAGCTTATATCAAAACGTTTATAACACTTCAAGGCCACATGATTTGCCTTACCACAGAGCTGACATATCAGACGATCACCATTCTTAAAGAAGCGACCACGGCCACGTCCACGGCCTCTGCCCCTGCCATTACCACGGAAAGACGAGAAACCACCACGAGACTGGACGAAATTTGCAGAATAATTTGCCGAGTTATTTTGCTCAAGTAAAGGTGCAGAACTAGTAGCAGTAAAATCTAACGGAGTAGTAGGAGTTTGACTTGCCAAACGCATTTCATGAGTTTGTAATGAAAATTGGACCTCAGGCAACGAAATTGAATCCAGGCGAGAAGACAAATTAACAACAACTGCTTCATAGTCGGCACCTAAACCTCCCAACACATACATAGCCATCTCGTCATCTGACACACGATGACCAACAGAGTGTAACTCATCAGCTAAAGCACGCATTTTCAGAATGAAATCATCAACAGATTGATCCCCTTTCTTTAGGGTTTGCAGTTGAAATTTGAGGTGAAGAACACGAGCTTTAGATTTCGTATGAAAAAGCTGTAGTAAGATCGACCAAACCTCAGCTGAGGATGAACAACGCGTGACATGGCCAAGCATTGATTCAGACATGGAGGCAAGCAACCAACTCAAGATCAACTGATCAGTGCGAATCCAACGAGAGAAATCTGGATTTACCGTTGACGGCGAGGAACCGGCCAAATCAGCAAGCGAGCGCGCCGGAGGAGACGGATTGAGGAGAAAATCCTTCAAACCATGAGCACGAACAGTAGCAAGGACTTGCAGTTTCCAGTAAGAAAAATTTGAGCGATCCAAGCGAAGAGGAAGAGGAAGAAGATGCGGAAAAGGTACGACCGATTGCGGCGAAGGATCAGCCATGGCAGATCGGTGAGAAGAAGATCGAAAAAAATCGAGCAGACTAGGGTTTAGCTGGCTCGAGATACCATGTTAGAGAATGAAGAACAGTAAAATGAATGTTGTTAATCCATTGATTGTGATAACTGTACAAAACAGAGTACATTTATATGCGAGTGAATTGAGGCTTTAACCTCACAGCTGTAAACATGAGCTGGCATCATTGGATTTTAACTAACTCACTAATTACACCTCTAACAAACTAACTAACTCACTATGCACATGCAGTCTAATAGTATCAATTCTAGTATTATTCTAATAAGTAACAATCTATTCGTTGAACAGTTGGAATTATAGATTCAAATGGTGATACACACTATACTATTGTTTTCCATCTAATTTATTCTCCATGATGAGCTCGACCAGATTTAGCCGCAGGTAATGGTGGCAGCTCCTGGGCGAATTCCACTGCCTGCTGCTGATATTCTTGAGGATGGTCCAATTTACGTCAACGCCAAACAGTATCATGGCATACTTAGAAGGAGACAAATACGCGCCAAGCTCGAGGCCCAGAACAAACTCGTCAAAAATAGGAAAGTAAGTCAGTTGCTTATGTGTTCTCGATTGTATTCATATAGACAAAATTCGGAAGAATAACAAAGTATAATATCTTGTAATAACATAAGAAAAACAAAATAAATGCACATTACTATCTTTAAGTTTTTTCATGCATAAAGAAATTGGCAACATAAGAATATAACATGAATAACGAATGTTGTTGTTATGTTGGTGAAGACATCAATACTTCCTACCAAAAAATGCGTATTTATACTATAAAATAAATACGAATGCAACTTACTCATTCTAAAAATGCTCAAAATATCCAACCGTATCTGCACGAGTCTCGCCACCAGCACGCAGTGAATCGGGTTTGGGGGTCTGGCGGCAGCTTTCTCAGCATCAAGAAGGCATGTGAGCAGCCCAATTCCCTCCCCACAGGCTCGGTGCCCAATCTCCCAAGCTCGTTTATTGGTGAAAAAACAAATTCCTCAAATTACAACGGGCCTGATATATAACATGGGCCTCTCGACTGGTGAAGACAGTACAAGAGTTGCGGCTGCCAATGGCGGACTTGCGTACGGAGGCAACCGCCACTATGCATCGGTCCGCTCGACCTGGTTCGACAATTCATCCTTGGCTACTTGAATCTGATTTACTAGGTTTTTTTTTTTTTTT